AGCCTGTAATGACTTCAGTCAGTGAATGACGTTTTATGTCACCTTTATGAATATTTCAACAATATAACAAAAGGAGCCCTCCAAATATGGGTTCACAATGTATCATGTGTTCCAACATGACCCATACTCTTGAACAGAATCAAACCCAACTTTTCAGTGTATAAGGCTAACGTTTTACCCATTATGCCACCCGACATGTGTTATTGTGTTCCAACACAACCAAACTCTTGCACAGAATTAAACCCAACTTTTCAGCCCATAAAGTAAACATTTTACCTACCATGCCACCCAACATGTGTTCAAACATGACCATACTCTTGTTCAGAATCAAACCCAGCTCTTCAGCATATAAGGCTGACGTTTACCCACTATGCCACCCGACATGTGTTCCAACACAACCCATACTCTTGTACAGAATCAAACCCAGCTCTTCAGCATATAAGGCTGACGTTTACCCACTATGCCACCCGACATGTGTTCCAACACAACCCATACTCTTGTACAGAATCAAACCCAGCTCTTCAGCATATAAGGCTGACGTTTACCCACTATGCCACCCGACATGTGTTCCAACACAACCCATACTCTTGTACAGAATCAAACCCAACTTTTCAGCGTATAAGGCAAACGTTTTACCCACAGAGCCACTGGACTGACCAGCCTGTGTTAACTCAATCCCATCGTCTTTTCATCATTAGCCCCACCCACCCTATATGCTAACCCCCACTCCCTTCCCCCACCCCAAGTTCTTGTGTTTCAGGTAACATGACCTCCCCATTGTTTCAAGAGCGACCCAAATATTTTTATCACAGCTGAAAACAGCTGTCAGGACACTCTTATTGGAAACTAGCCATCTGTCCAAAACAATCATAATAAATTTCAACATAAAAACCACCCCATAGATGTTGGGCCCATGTTAGCTAAAAAAAACAACCAAAGAGATAAATGTTTTACGATTTCACATTTGTCTTGCGATAAATATGGTATTCCCCACATGACCATTATTTGAGCACTGGATGTGATGTGCTTTCAGGTAAACAGTACAGGCCTTGCATGAGTTTCAGTGAAATATTCACATACAGTAATTTTCGTAATTAATCCAAGCGTGTTTAACCATATTTGGGGGTGACGTAGGGAGAGATGATGGTTATGTTAATTCCTGACTGAATCAGTACAGCATGGTCACATGACAAATAATGGATCATGTCATTTTACATCACAATACAACCTGTGACTGCTACAGATTAGTATTTTAATGTAACGATGCTGCTCGTCAGTGAACTGATATTATGAACTACACATTGCCGTCAATCAATACTTGCAATAATACAAGGCAGTAAAACATGACCAATGCTGACAGGTTAAATATTTTTCTTATATTTTCATTTATACACCACAATGGATTTGCTTGAATTTTAATTAAATTTACGGTAGTTAGGTTCACCGCTTCACAAGCCGAACGAACTCAACACTCAGTATTTAAAAAAGTTTTCAGAAATATGAATGTTTCATATCATGAAAACAATCTAAATTTCAAATGTATATTTAATGCTTATCAGTTAATGGTAAATAATTGGGTCAAGATTGCTGCATGAATTATTGCAGACACTGGATGACCTCAAGCTAGTTTGTTTTCATTGAAAAGGATGACGAATGAATGATAAATGCACGAAGCATTTCAAATGCTGACTGAACTTTCCCACCAAAACACCCCCAGCAAGAAAACGAAAAGAACCACTCAAAACTAAGACAACTGTAATGTGTGAGGTTTAATCAGAATAATTCAATGAAGGAACCCTTGAGTGTTAAGAAAACAGTCTTGATTTCAGAGCTGAGAAGATGAATATGGGATGCTAGAGCTGGGATTGGGAAGAGTTGGGATGTTAGAGCAGAGACTGGGAAGAGATTGGGATGTTAGAGCAGAGACTGGGAAGAGATTGGGATGTTAGAGCAGAGACTGGGAAGAGATTGGGATCTTAGAGCTGGGATTAGGAAGAGATTGGAATGTTAGAGCAGAGACTGGGAAGAGATTGGGATGTTAGAGCTGGGATTGGGAAGAGATTGGGATGTTAGAGCTGGGATTGGGAAGAGATTGGGATGTTAGAGCTGGGATTGGGAAGAGATTGGGATGTTAGAGCAGAGACTGGGAAGAGATTGGGATGTTAGAGCAGAGACTGGGTATAGATTGGGATGTTAGAGCAGAGACTGGGAAGAGATTGGGATGTTAGAGCTGGGATTGGGAAGAGATTGGGATGTTAGAGCTGGGATTGGGAAGAGATTGGGATGTTAGAGCAGAGACTGGGAAGAGATTGGGATGCTAGAGCAGAGACTGGGAAGAGATTGGGATGTTAGAGCAGAGACTGGGAAGAGATTGGGATGTTAGAGCAGAGACTGGGAAGAGAAGGGATGCTTCGACTGAGATTGGGATGTCAGAGCTTACATTGGGATCCTAGAGCTGAGATTGTGATGCCAGAGCAGAGACTGGGAAGAAACGGATGCTAGAGCTGAGATTGGGATGCTGGAGCTGAGATTGGGATGCCAGAGCAGAGACTGGGAAGAGAACGGATGCTAGAGCTGAGATTGGGATCCTGGAGCTGAGGTTGGGATGCTAGAGCTTACATTGGGATGCCAGAGCTGAGATTGGGATGCCAGGGCTGAGAGTGGGAGGATGGAGCTGAGTTTGGGATGCCAGAGCTTACATTGGGATCCTAGAGCTGAGATTGGGATGCCAGAGGTTGGATTGGGATGCTGGAGCTGAGATTGGGATGCTAGAGATGAGATTGGGATGCCAGAGCTGAGATTGGGATGCCAGGGCTGAGATTGAGTGAGTGAGTGAGTTTAGTTTTACGCCGCACTCAGCAATGTTCCAGCTATATGGCGGCGGTCTGTAAATAATCGAGTCTGGACCAGACAATCCAGTGGTCAACAGCATGAGCATCGATCTGCGCAATTGGGAACCGATGACATGTGTCAACCAAGTCTGACCACCCGATCCCGTTAGTCGCCTCTTACGACAAGATAGTCGCCTTTTTATGGCAAGCACATGGGTTGCTGAAGACCTATTCTACCCCGGATCTTCACGGGTCAGGGCTGAGATTGAGATGCTGGAGCTTGGATTGGGATGCTGGAGCTGAGATTGGGATGCTGGAGCTGAGATTGAGATGCCCAAGCTTGGATTGTGATGCTGGAGCTGAGATTGGGATGCTGGAGCTGAGACTGAGATGCCAGAGCTGAGATTGGGATGCTACAGCTGAGATTGAGATGCTGGAGCTGAGACTGGGATTCTAGAGCTGAGATTGGGATGCTGGAGCTGAGACTGGGATGCCAGAGGTGAGATTGGGATGCTGGAGCTGAGACTGGGATTCTAGAGCTGAGACTGGGATGCTACAGCTGAGATTGAGATGCTACAGCTGAGATTGAGATGCCAGAGCTTGGATTGGGATGCTCGAGCTGAGATTTGGATGCTGGAGCTGAGATTTGGATGCTGGAGCTGAGATTGAGATGCCAGAGCTGAGATTGGGATGCTGGAGCTGAGATTGAGATGCCAGAGCTTGGATTGGGATGCTGGAGCTGAGATTACAATGCTACAGCTGAGATTGAGATGCCAGAGGGGAGATTGGGATGCTAGAGCTGAGACTGAGAAGATAACGGGATGCAAGAGCTGAATCGGGGAAAAGAATGGGATGCTTGAGCCGAGAGTGGGAAGAGAAAAGGATGCAAGAGCTGAGATAAGGAAGAGAATGGGATTCTGGAGCTGAGATTGGGAAGAGAAAAGAAAGAAAGCTAGAGCAGTGAAGGTGATGATTTTTCATCAAACAATTGAGGATGTCCAGTATTTGGGTGCAATGACTCCCATACCAACCTCTTAGTAACCAAAATGTGGCAGTGCACAATATTACAATGAGATAATGACAATGTAGATGTGATTTGGACCATTTCAGAGGATATCATGGAATATACAAAGACATTGTGACTGTTTCCTAATATTATGTGGATAAGCTGTTACCTAAGAGAATATCATGCTTATATACACATTATAGTGACTGTTTTCTTACATTTCAATGAAAAACAATTTTCTAAAAGGATATCATGGCCATATACAGGTCATTGTGACTGTTTCTTTATATTACATGGATAAGCTGTTCCCTCAGAGGTTATCATGGCTATATACACACCCTTGTGGCTGTTTCCTCATATTACATAAATAATTTGTTCATTTCTGTGTTGGCCACACTGAAAACAATCTACAAACAGTAATTTTAATTACAATGATTTGAAATGCTTATCAAACGCAATACCAACTCAAGATGTTAAATTTTAAAATGAGACAAATTTGAACATGGGTAAGAATTGTGTTTTGAATTTTATAAACTTAAAATAGCTGATAAAATTATTGTAACCATGGCTGTTTGTGTACATAACTACGAGTAATATCTGGACAAATTTACAGCCATCCTGCAAATATTGAAAGCCGGAATGTTGAGGTCAAGGAAGCCGGGGACTGTTGTCCATGATTTAATCACGTGTAGAGGGACCCGCCCACCTTTAACTTGCTAAATCCGCTACTAATACTGGGAAATGGTATAACGTGTTATATCACAGTGTGAGAAAATGAATTGTAATTCTATTGTACAACAATGTTACTAACTCGCCGTCTCTGCACGCGACCAGCTCGCGATAGAGATGTCGATGTCATTATCAGCTGACAGGGTCGCGACGCATGACATATCAACGTGAAACGAAGAGAAAATCGGTCAGGGCGTCCATTTTGCTCTACAATAGAAGCGTAGCTCATCTAAATTCAGTAAACTGAACGGGAGTTCATTAAAACACCGTTATATTTCAGTACGAAGCGAGGGCACGGCACCCCGGTAAATCGCTCGGCCGATTGTTTCCCTCAAAACTGCTCAGGCGTGAGACACTGAAATCGACATGCTAGGGTGCACATGTACTATTCTCCCTTTAAATGACTGAGAGCATCCATAGCACACAATACTTACTGTAGTGGATGTACGTCTAACAGCTTGCCTCGGTTCAGTGAATTTGCTGGTTGGGCGAAAATAAACAAAGCCAGGTCACCTTGTTCTCGATGATAACAGATATTGTTCAAATATGAGGGGTATGGTGCCCACCGCCATATTGAAAGCAATGACAGTGCGCAAAGCAATTCGCGCATTGTGACGTCACGGTGGATCAACTTTGATGAGGCTAGTCAAGTGTTGAGAAATCGCTGAATTGATTAGCCACAACCATGAACCATAACAGAATCGATAATTAATAATGTTCTATATGGACTCTATAATTTCCAGATCCAGTTTATGTATCATTGTAATTTATTCAAAGTTGCACTGAAGCGTGTAAACAATCAATAACACTCACGGAGACATAAATTACTCGTACCTAATAAAGATCTACGAGTTCAGTCTACTGGGTTTGGTCATTGTTATATTTGCGAAAATCCATAGTGTGTATGGCACCTGCCTGTAAAAAGGGTATTGTGAAACGAAACATAAACATATTCCGTGTTATGTTAGCTAGGCCAAAACAAGAGAGTTTTGTTGTGTCTCCTTCCACATTTGTGTGAGATTTCGATGAAAATATCACAATCGACTTTGCAAGCTAGGAGTCGTTAACACAGTGCTATTTTGTACACTACTGTCGACGATGTGCAAAATTAAAGTTTTTTCACAATACGAAGTTTTGGTTTGAAGAGTGTAAAGGAATTATGAAATGTTAAAATTTGAAACAATAAAATTTATTTTACTTGCGATGTAATCAAAAGTAGTCACGTGTTGAGAAAATAATTGTTTGTTCAAATTAACAAGATATTATGTCTCATTGTGAAATTTAGTCTTGAAAATCCTAATAAATCTCTTTCCCACACGGGTTCTTCGCAGACATTGAATGCTATTGTTTGTGACATACTGATGACGTCATTGAACAGTTAAAGAAATATTTTCGTATATTATCCATATGGTTCAAGATAAGTAAGTTATACAGTTACACCTAACGCAAATCTAATAATAAATCATACATCTTTCTTTATCGCTGCAAGGGGGTGTCGGGGTGGGGTAAAACTTTGTGGTTAATGCGTTCCCCCGTCACGCCGAAGCACCGGGTTCGAACTCTACCCGGGTACAATGTGTGAAGCTCATTTCTGGAGCAGCATCAGGGTGAGGTACATACAAGACAAGATGTGTGTCTGCACATACACCCAACAGCACCAGGGTGAGGTACATACAAGATCAGATGTGTGTCTGCACATACACTCAACAGCATCAGGGTGAGGTACATACAAGACCAGATGTGTGTCTGCACATACACCCAACAGCATCAGGGTGAGGTACATACAAGACCAGATGTGCGTCTGCACATACACCCAACCACAGTACCAGGGTGAGGTACATACAAGAGCAGATGTTTGTCTGCACATACACCCTGCAGCATCAGGGTGAGGTACATACAAGACCAGATGTGTGTCTGCACATACACCCAACAGCACCAGGGTGAGGTACATACAAGACCAGATGTTTGTCTGCACATACACCCAACAGCATCAGGGTGAGGTACATACAAGACCAGATGTGTGTCTGCACATACACCCAACAGCACCAGGGTGAGGTACATACAAGACCAGATGTTTGTCTGCACATACACCCTGCAGCATCAGGGTGAGGTACATACAAGACCAGATGTGTGTCTGCACATACACCCAACAGCACCAGGGTGAGGTACATACAAGACCAGATGTTTGTCTGCACATACACCCTGCAGCATCAGGGTGAGGTACATACAAGACCAGATGTGTGTCTGCACATACACCCAACAGCACCAGGGTGAGGTACATACAAGACCAGATGTGTGTCTGCACATACACCCTGCAGCACCAGGGTGAGGTACATACAAGACCAGATGAGTGTCTGCACATACACCCTGCAGCATTAGGGTGAGGTACATACAAGACAAGATGTTTGTCTGCACATACACCCTGCAGCATCAGGGTGAGGTACATACAAGACCAGATGAGTGTCTGCACATACACCCAACAGCACAAGGGTGAGGTACATACAAGACCAGATGTGTGTCTGCACATACACCCAACAGCACCAGGGTGAGGTACATACAAGACCAGATGTGTGTCTGCACATACACCCAACAGCACCAGGGTGAGGTACATACAAGACCAGATGTGTGTCTGCACATACACCCAGCAGCACCAGGGTGAGGTACATACAAGACCAGATGCGTACCTGCACATACACCCAACAGCACCAGGGTGAGGTACATACAAGACCAGATGTGTGTCTGCACATACACCCAACAGCACCAGGGTGAGGTACATACAAGACCAGATGTGTGTCTGCACATACACCCAGCAGCACTAGGGTGAGGTACATACAAGACCAGATGTGTGTCTGCACATACACCCAACAGCATCAGGGTGAGGTACATACAAGACTAGATGTGTGTCTGCACATACACCATGCAGCACCAGGGTGAGGTACATACAAGACCAGATGTGTGTCTGCACATACACCCAACAGCACGAGGGTGAGGTACATACAAGACCAGATGTGTGTCTGCACATACACCCAGCAGCACCAGGGTGAGGTACATAAAAGACCAGATGTGTGTCTGCACATACACCCAACAGCACGAGGGTGAGGTACATACAAGACCAGATGTGTGTCTGCACATACACCCAACAGCACCAGGGTGAGGTACATACAAGACCAGATGTGTCTGCACATACACCCTGCAGCACCAGGGTGAGGTACATACAAGACCAGATGAGTGTCTGCACATACACCCTGCAGCACCAGGGTGAGGTACATGCTTTGGTCAACGGGTTTCACCACCAACAAGATACCAGTTTCCCTCTTCACAAAGCGACCTTATCCCTTGGGTGATCATATCTCCGATGCCTTAACAGAGGCGTACGATCACCGAAGCAATAAATTCACGCATACATTTTTCAGTTATCCAGGTCATCCGAAAACGCTACGATCGATCTTATCAAGAATTGTCGAACAATGGATGTGACATCCTCATTTATACAGGGAATAACATCTCTATGTTACTGGGATAACTACTCTTGACCAATCGCTGTCCTGTACCATCATTAAATTCTGGATAAAATAATAATAATAAAAATATAAAAAATAAATAAAAAATAAAAAAACTTAAACATCAAGTTGATTTCGGTATAAATCTGAAACAGGTGTCATAACTAATTTAACATAACCACTCACTTCCGCGTCTCAAAAAAAATAAATCATTAATTTCTGGAGGTGTATGTCGTCGGAATGAGTGAGAGGATCTGCTTTAGCGTCACTTTGAACCCGTGAAGATCCGGGTCAGAATTTATCTTCAGCAAACCATGCTTGTCGTAAGGGGCGACCGACGGGGTCGGGTGGTCAGGCTCGTTGATTTGGTTGACACATGTCATCGTATCCCAGTTACGTATATCGATGCTCATGATGTTGATCACCGGATTGTCTGGTCCAGACTCGATTATGTACATACCGCCGCCATATAGCTGGAATATTGCTGAGTACGGCATTAAACAACAAACGAACCCATGTTTGAAACCAACAGGCAGGGATGTGTTTCAAACAAACCTAGAGCTATTGCAAATGGGCCCAGGTTATTAATTATGTTGTTGGCACTTAACGCTGTGCAATATTCCAGCTATATGGCAGCGGTCTGTAAATAATTGAGCCTGGACCAGACAATCCAGTGATCAACACCATGAGCATAATCTACGCAATGGGAACCGATGACAGGATAGATGAAGATCAGTTCTAACCAGGATTTCTACGGGTTGTGTGTATAATGATAGAATTTACATTTAACATACCAGACAATAATAATAATAGCTTATGGAGTTTCACCGGCTTCAATGGTAAAACCTTATTTGTCGTTTTCGTCTGAGGACAGCATACTTGTGTATTATGGCTTGGCAATATTGGAATGAGATGAGATAACTCGCATGTATTTTTGTAATCGTATCAAATATCTGAATATCCTTCTACATACATCACAGATGTTGTGAAACGTGATACAAGGACCAATTACGCTACTCTGTTACATATGTCGGTTTACATTATGTATGAACGAATGTACAAACATCCATGCAGAACGATAGAATATAAAATGATAATGACAGATCTCCATAGTTGATGTTCTTTGTTGGAAGTAGACCGAATATTCATTATGGAAGTCTGGTGTTGACTAAGGGAGACGGGTCTGGTGTTTACTGTTGGGAGACGGGTCTGGTGTTTACTGTTGGGAGACGGGTCTGGTGTTTACTGTTGGGAGACGGGTCTGGTGTTTACTGCTGGGAGACGGGTCTGGTGTTTACTGCTGGGAGACGGGTCTGGTGTTTACTGTTGGGAGACGGGTCTGGTGTTTACTGTTGGGAGACGGGTCTGGTGTTTACTGTTGGGAGACGGGTCTGGTGTTTACTGTTGGGAGACGGGTCTGGTGTTTACTGTTGGGAGACGGGTCTGGTGTTCACTGTGGGAGACGGGTTTGGTGTTTACTGTGGGAGACGGGTTTGGTGTTTACTGTTGGGAGACAGGTCTGGTGTTTACTGTTGGGAGACGGGTCTGGTGTTCACTGTGGGAGACGAGTTTGGTGTTTACTGTTGGGAGACGGGTCTTTTGTTTACTGGTGTTTACTCAAGGAGGCTGTTAAGCTGTTCATTGTTTACTGTGTGAGACAGTAGAAGACGTTGGGAGACGGGTCTGGTGTTTACTGTTGGGAGACGGGTCTGGTGTTTACTGTTGGGAGACGGGTCTGGTGTTTACTGTTGGGAGACGGGTCTGGTGTTTACTGTTGGGAGACGGGTCTGGTGTTTACTGTTGGGAGACGGGTCTGGTGTTCACTGTGGGAGACGGGTCTGGTGTTTACTGTTGGGAGACGGGTTTGGTGTTTACTGTTGGGAGACAGGTCTGGTGTTTACTGTTGGGAGACGGGTCTGGTGTTCACTGTGGGAGACGAGTTTGGTGTTTACTGTTGGGAGACGGGTCTTTTGTTTACTGGTGTTTACTCAAGGAGGCTGTTAAGCTGTTCATTGTTTACTGTGTGAGACAGTAGAAGACGTTGGGAGACGGGTCTGGTGTTTACTGTTGGGAGACGGGTCTG